CATTACAGAGAATATATATACTCTAGAAGCAGTTGCAGTTTCTCAAAGTATAACATGAAACTTTGGTCTGATGAGCACAACTGCTCTTTACTTAGTATGTTCATTTGTGTATATGTTTTATTATTTATTTATTTATTTAGTGCTACTGGGGCTTGAATTCAGGGCCTACACCTTGAGCCACTCCACCAGCCCTTTATTGTGATTTTTTTTTTCAAAATCGGGTCTCCCAAACTATTTGCCCAGGCTGGCTTCTGACAACAACCCTGATCTCTGCCTCTTGAATAGCTAGGATTACAGGTGTGAGCTGCCAATGCCCGGCTAAAATGGGTAATTTTTTTTTTTTGCATCTGGTACTTGGGTTTGAACTCAGGGCCTTGCACTTGCTAGGCAGGTGCTCTACCACTTGAGCCATTCCACCAGCCTATTTTAAGTTTTTGAGACAGGGTCTTGTTATGCTAGCTCAAACCTGAGATCCTCCTGCCTCAGCCTCTCGAGTGCTGGGATTACAGGCCACCTGGCTTTATGTGTATATATGTGTATGTACATACATTTTTTTGCTAGTCATAAGCAAAAAAAAAAGAACTATCTTATTCCTTCAATATCCAATCTTGTGTTCATATTTAATAACTGAACACTGTCTACATCATCTATTGAAGATAATGTAACTGAATGATACTTCAGGAAAGTTGTCTTTTGTGTTTTTTCACATTTTTAATGGGATCTGAAACCTAAGACAAGGTAAGTAAATGATAACCTTTGGTTTCATTCAGTGTTAATAAATGTCTTAAATGAAAAAAAAATTACATGAAGTTAGACATAATTAAATAACATTAATAATAATAATGAAACTAGAAATAAGAATTTTATATTTAACCTGGCACTTTCTTCTGGAAGAACTAACGATGCCTTGGGAGCAAGCTTTTCCTGGAACTCAATTTTTACTCATTTCTTGGAAAAGAACTAGTGAGATCATATTTGTACATATTCTATCTTAGTAGTGATTGGCTGGTTTTATTTATTGATCCTTTAAAAAAGAATCAGAGCCTTGTTTTCTTCAGGTTTTATATTTTCCATCATTGCTGCCCAATGACTCAGTCTTCTGATTGGTAGAGATCAGAAAAATCACACCATTTGTTGTCAGATGGCAATCCAGTAATTTATCTTAGAGCCCAATTGTTAGGTTCTGTATTTTGTTTCAAACTTCTTTGGACATCACCTATTCACACAAAGGAGGCTATGCTGACTGGCTGATTAGGGAGAGTATTACTTACCTGGCAATTCTGCTGGAAATCTGCACTTTTTTCTTACAAAGTTACATTTTATATTTCCTGCCCTCTGCCTTACTTGCTCTTCTGTTCATTATAGAGTGTCCTTAACTTCTATATACATGTGTATTTACATAATATGTATTTAAATGCATACACATAAAAATTAGCAATTAGTAATGTCTGTTTTCTCAGTTACAAAGTCAGGACAGTGTCTTGGAATGATTTTATAACTTTTGGAAAATGAGTCTTTCTAGTACAATTTTTTTTTTCTTCAGTACTGGGGTTTGAACTCAGGGCCTACACCTTGAGCCACTCCACCAGCCCCATTTTTTGTGATGGATTTTTTTGAAATAGGGTCTCTCGAACTATTTGCCCGGGCTGGCTTAGAATGATGATCTTCTAATCTCTCCTTCCTGAATAGCTAGGATTACAAGTGTGAGTCACCAGCACCCAGCTATGACAGTCAGTTTTTGCAAAGACTTTTCTGTGAAGAAAACAAAAGGCTAAAATTAACTTTATAAAAACTTTAATATTCTGTTCTTTTCTGCTCCAGAATCCTGTCTAAGATACCACATTACATTTAGTCCATTATGTCTCCTTTGGCTCTTCTTGCCAGTGATAGTTTTTCAGACTTTCCTTGTTTTTGATAATCTTAAGATTTTTTGGGATTTCTGGTCAATTGTTTTGTAGAATGTCTCCCAATTGGGATTTTTGTGATGTTTTTTCTCATCACTAAACTGCCATTAGGGGTTCTGGGGAGGAAGACAATAGAGCTAAAGCATCATTTCCATTACTCCATACCAATAGTACTTATCTTATTCTTTTGCAGTGCTGGGGTGAATCAAATCCAGGGCCTTGAGTATGTTAAGCAAATGCTCCATCATTGAGCTACTTCCCCAGCCTCAAGGGTACTTACTATCAACTTGACTTATCATTGTTGACCTTGATCACCTGACTGAAGTAGTGCTTTTCAGACTTCTCCACTGTAAAATTACCCCTCTCCCTTCCATATTGTACTCTTTGGAAGGAAGTCACTAAGTGCATCCTTTACCTACTAGGGAGTTAAGCTCCACCTCCTTGAGAGTGAAGTATCTACATAAATTATTTCGAATTCTTCTGCATGGGAGATCTGCAAAATGAACTTTTAAAATATTAAAATGAGGGGGTGTAGATCAGTGGTAGAGCACGTGTTTAGCATTGTGCAAAACCCTGAGTTCATTCTCAGCACCAAAACAACAAAACAGCTTAACTGGGCTGCAGGTGTGCTCAAGTCGTAGAGTGTCTGCCTAGCAAGAGCAAAGTCCTGAGTTTAAAGCCCATTACCACAAATAAATAGAAACAAAACAAAAACCACAACAGCTTAATTGAATTTTTTTTTTTTTTACATTCGGGCTGTAAATATCTTTTTTTTTTTCCTTTAAAAAATTATTATTGGTCATGCCTGCAATCTTAGCTACTCAGGAGGCAGAGATCAGGAGGATTGAGGTTCGAAGCCAGCCCAGGCAAATAGTCTATGAGACCCTATCTCAAAAACATCAATCACACAAAAAAAGAGGCTGGTGGAGTGGCTCAAGGTGTAGGCCCTGAGTTCAAACCCCAATTAAAAAAAAAAAAAAAAAAAGAACAAACCCAAAAAAGATTATCAATGTAATACATAGTCACTGCAGAAAACTTAGAAAATGCAGAAAAGTATAAAGCAGCAGCAACTAGAACTACCCATAATTTCACCTCTCATAGGCAACCATTTCTAGCATTTTTTATTTCCTTCCAGTCTGTTCTGCATAAAGTAACTATTTTTAATCAGCGCTTGCTTGAAATAGTTTCATATGAAATAAAAATGTTTTATTTTTGAATATGGCAAAGACGGTGGATTCATATAAATATAGAGCAGATCTTGGTGACTTTTTTTTGTGTGTGTGGTCAAAGCCTATACCTAGAGCCACTCCACAAGCCCATTTTTGTGATGGGTTCTTTTTGAGATAGGGGCTCATGAACTATTTGACTGGGTTCGCTTCAATCTGCGATCCTCCTATCTCTGCCTCCTGAGTAGCTAGGATTACAGGTGTGAGCCACTGGTGCCCAACTTAATTTTTATTTTTGAGACATGTTCTCCCTATGTAGCCCAGGTTGGCCTTGAACTGGCAATTGATCTGCTTCAGTCTCCTGAATGCTAGGATTATGGGTGTGTGCCATCACTGGTCTACAATTTGTTATTTCTAATGATGGTTTAATTTCTCCATCAATAAAAACAATATGGAAAAAGGATAAATTGTATTTGTTTGCAGATTTTAATCCTGATTATTTATTGAGTTCACTATTTTTTTGTGCCTTCAAGGCCTTCACTAAACACTATGTACAATCAACAAGGATGAACTACTCAACATTACTTTGTGTAAACAAAGGGCTAAAAAAAATAGTTCAATGTGTCTACATAAGTTTGAACACGGAATGCAGGAATCATATACTATATTAATATCTGTCCTCCTCCAGTGGCTCACAGTACACAAACCTAAGAAAATATGTAAATGTCAAATTGATGATAGTTACCTCAATTTTCAGTATTCCTACTTCAATAACAGTATAATACCTGGGAATACATTTCTTTATAATGATCTCCAAGGGATTGTTTAAATTCTTTAGCTGTACTGAAATATACCAAATATTCTTTTTAATAAACCGTGGCTTGCAACGTGAAATTTTCTGCACAAAGCCTTTGTTGTATTTTTGGGAGTTTGTATGTGCCTGTGTTTCTAACAGGATTTGACCTGTAACTATTATTGAGAATTTTCTCAGAGAAGTTCAAAGCATTTTATAGGGATCATCTCATTTATCCTTCGAAAGTAAGGCAGAGGCATTATCTCCACTATAGACTGAGAACACTAAAAGGCCAAGATAGGTGGGTTTTTTTGTTGTTGTTTTGTTAAGATCAAAAAGAATCTAGGGCAAAGCCAGATTCCGGTCTGACCTTGTTACAGGATGCTTCTGCATATTGTAATGTGTATGTAATACATCATGGTGGCTTCCCTTCTCTCTCCTTGGCTCTGCTAGGTGTTGAGTAATTTTCAGGATTGATTTCTCACTCATTTTTGCTCCCTGTAAACGGGTGTTAAGATGGGTTATATCAACCTCAGTAGCTCTCCATTGAGAATGGTGTCCTGTGACTCCAATGGATTTAGGGTGATCTTAGAGAATCAACTTGCAATTGGGTGGTGACTAATAAGAAGCCCTAGCTCAACCATTTCCTGACACGTGAAGTATTGGGAGTTATCGATCCAGTAGATTGCAACCTCTCACGTGTATCTAAGTAGTCAGGTTCATATCCTGTGTTAGAACTCAGACAAAAGGACCTGCAAACTTCCAGGGCTTGCAGTTTCCTAGTACTCTGGTATGTGGCCTGTGGACAGGAGCAACATCTGGGGAAGAGGAAAATTCCCTGGGTGAGAAAGCCACCCAACGACATGCTTCTTGAGGGCAGGGACTGTGACTTGAGGCTTCCTGAAGGTGGAGGCTCTTCTTGTGGCCTTAGGAGGGGCCTTCGGGCAAGCGTTGCATCAAGGTTGTTGAATGAAGAAGGCATGTGCTTCCACCAGCAGCTCCTGACGGCCCAAGGGATGGGGGTGCCAGCGCCCCGAAGTGGCTCCACAGCCGCAGGTGTGAGGGGCGGGCCCAGGCCTCGGCCCGCGCCGCCCCATGTGACCCGGTCCGACATGGTGTCGCCTCCTCCCGGGGCGGTGGCTCGGCTACGCGTCGGGCCGGCCCCGCGGCCGCTCATGGGCAGCCAGGGCCGCCCGGGTCCCCCCGGGAACCGTGGGCCGGGCGAGGGCGAGGGCGAGGGCGGGGAGGCGAGGAAACTGCAGGACGCTAGGGTCGTGCGGGGGAAGCGAAGGAAGGGGAAGGGGAAAGCGGACGCAGGGCAAGGCGGAAGAGGAAGCGGGGCGGAAGGGAAGCCAGGGCCGCAGCGGGCGAAGCCGGCGGCGGGGCCGGGAGCTGAGGAAGGAGCTAGGGCAGGCCCGGGGCGGGAAGGAGGCGGAGGAGGGAGCGCGGAAGATGGAGCGACAAGCACCGTGAAGCGAGATGAGGGTAGCGTAGGGGCCGGGAGGGCGGCCCAAGGGAGCGACGATGGCCAGGAGGAGGAACGGAGGGTCCGGACTGGTCGGCGGGACGATGGCAGGCCGGGGAGAGCGCAGGGACGAGGGGCTCAAGCGTGGGGCGGCCTCGCGGGGACCGGAGCGGCCATGGCGGCGGCGGCGGCCGAGGGGGAGGCGGCCGCTCGCCCCGCGGCGGGGCCGGCTCTGTGGCGCCTGCCGGAGGAGCTGCTGCTGCTCATCTGCTCCTACCTGGACGTGCGGGCCCTCGGCCGCCTGGCCCAGGTGTGCCGCTGGCTGCGGCGCTTCACCAGCTGTGACCTGCTGTGGCGCCGGATAGCCCGGGCCTCGCTCAACTCCGGCTTCACGCGGCTCGGCACCGACCTGTAAGCGCCCGCTCGCCGCCCGCCCCCCGCCCCGGGCCGGCCAGCGTCCCGGGAAAGGGCGGGGCGCCGCGGCCTGGTCGGCCCAGGGCACTGTCACACCCCGAATTCCAAGGCCCACACCGGCCTCCGCCGAAACCCCTCCCCGAGCACCCTCGGGGATCCCAGTGCTCGACTCTCCAAGACCCGGGTTTGAGGAAGCCTCCAAAAGCATCCCTCCCTGTGGGCGGCCCCTCAGTCTGTAACCATCTTAGCTCCCTTCGCAGAGGTTTGCCCTGTTCCTGAGCCCAGAGCAGCCACGCTGCGGTCTGTGGTCGACGTGCTTTGGACCACTCCTCCAGCTCAGGTCCACGAAGAGGACTGTCAGTGCTTTTGTGGACTTTTGGCCTCCCTACTCTTTTCTAAAGGCTGTTAGGCTTCAGGGCTCAGATCCTAAAAGAGAAAGCCCTTAGTTCTAGTTTATGACTTGATACAGGCAAAGGACTCAGAAAAGGTACCTGCTTGAGGCAGGAGTCTGCTTTAGGTCCAGGCCATGCCCAGGGTATTGTAGTTTGGTCTGTTTTTGGTAGTGCTGAGACCTGTGAATGAAAACCTTTCCCCAATCATTTAAGCAGTTAAATGGGAAGGAAGGAAAAGTATGAATTGGGGAAATAAAAGCTTTCAGATCGCACCCTATTCTACCTGATTGTAATACAGTGGAATAACATCAAAGAAACTTTTTTTTTTTTAAAACATAAATATCTGTGCCATCACCTCTTCTTAAGTATTTCCATTAAGACTTTTCTTCGAGTACGTCCCCTCTACCAGTCGCAATCTTACTGATCCTAACAGAATAGGTGCATAACGAGCAGTGCAACACGTTTTGGGTAACAGCTTTACGACGTCACAAACCATACTATACTTTTTTTTTTTTAAATTAGTGCCTCGAGATAGGCATTATTGGATCAAAGGTTATGGTTGCAAAGGTGTTGGGCCAAGTTGCAGTACAACAGTAAAGAATGAAGCAATTTCATGTGAGAATTTTAAAAAATCTTTGGTGTTTTAGTGGGTATATAATGGTATGTCAGAGTTGTGTTATTTTGCATCTCCTTTACCTCTGACTAGAAGAAATATTTTCCCATGCTTGTTTCACCTGTCACATTATCTCTTCCTACTCTATCCATTTTTCACTGGGGTCTTGATGTTTTTCTTATATTTGGAATCTTAGTGGGTCTTAAGTTTTATACTCCAGTCTGTCATCTTTGATGTAAATATTTTTTCTCAGGCAGTTGTTTTTACTGTTAGAAGCCAGTCTTGTGATTTTTTTCCCCCATTTTTTTTTGACAATAATGGGGTTTGAACTCAGGGCCTCACACTTGCTAGGCAGGTGCTCTACAGCTTGAGCCACTCCATCAGCCCTTTTTTGTGTTGAGTATTTTCAAGATAGTGTCTTGTGAACTACTTGCCCAGGGTGGCTTCCACCTCCATCCTCCTGATCTGTGCCGTCTGAGTAGCTAGGAATACAAGCATGAGCCACCAGCACCCAGCATTCCCTCTTTTTCCCCCCAAAGCTGAGAATGGTACTGTGCTTTGAACTCAGGGCTTTGCCACTTGAGCCACTCCTCCAGCCCTCGAAGCTGAGAAATTTATAATTCTTTCACAGACCTGATAAATTCTCTCTTTGATTACAACTAATTTTCTTATAACATTATTCATTTTTTTTTGCTTTTTTGCAGTACTGGGGTTTGAACTTAGGGCCTACACCTTAAGCCACTCCACCAGCCATTTTTTGTGATGAGTTTTTTTGAGATAGGGTCTCCTGAACTATTTGCCCGGGCTGGCCTTGAACTTCGAGCCTCCCGATCCCTACCTTCCTGGAAGCTAGGATTACAGGCGTGAGCCACCAGTGCCTGACCTAGAATTTGTTTTTTAAATAGTTAACATTTTCATCAACATAACCTTTTTTTTTTATGCAAAGAGATGAATTTACTTGTTTTTCCCCTAAATAGTTGCTTAGTTATTACATATTTTGTTAAAAAATTCTTCTCTTTCCCTTTGTTTTGGACTGCTTGGTTTTCTATGTATTAAGGTTAGACATATGTACACACATATGTATATATGTATGTTCAATCTATATTTAAACTCTGAATTTTATTGTACTGATAGATCTTTTCATTTGCATACTATTTTAAATATTGGTGCTTGGGAGGGGGCAGCGCTGGAGTTTGAATTTAAGGCCACATGCTTATAGGTGCCTGATCCCTTGAGCCATGCCCCTAGCTTGCTTTTTTTTTTTTTTTTTCCTTTTTTTTCCGGTGCTGGGGACCGAACTCAGGGCCTTACACTTGCCAGGCAAGCGCTCTTCCACTGAGCTAAATCTCCAACCCCTTGCTTTTGCTTTTTGATAGTCTTATGTCTGTTAGGGTTAGATTATACCTATTTGATTTATATGTGTGTGTGTCATGTTTCTACTTCTCAATTTTCCACCAGAAAACTTCTGTGCCTTTTTAAGGACTGTGGTTTTTGCTATAAAGTTCTTACATGTCTTTTGTTAAACTTATCCTTATGTGTTGCTAAGCATCTGATGTATTTTGTTTCTATTGCAAATGCAACCTCTTTTTCAGTGTATTTTCCAGTAGGGAATGATCGATGTACAAAATTACTATAATTCTTTTGCACGTTTTTGAACCTCTTCATTTTGCTTAACTCTATTCTAGTATGATTTTGTTGATGATAATGATTCATTGGGATTTTTCTTTTTTGATTCCTTGAGATTTTTGGGGAGTAGACAGTCTTGTTAACTGTAAAAATAGTATTTTTTCCTCCTCTTATCAGAGGAACTCTTTCACAGAATATTATCAGTTGACCTATAAGAGAAGTTAGCAAAAATGACTGTAATCTCAGCCTACCAAGGCAGAGTCTGGCTTTGATCTCTCACTCTTTGCAGTGATTGAATGAATGAATGAATGAAAGAATTGATGTTTATTTTTCTTTCCCTTTCAAATCCCTTGAAAGAGAGATAGTGGAAATGATAACAACAAAATGAAAACAAGTTTATAGTGTAAAGTGTTTTGAGACTGCCAAATGATATTATGGCTTTACTATTAATAGACATGTGTGTTTTGATTCCTTGCGTGTGTCCTAGTGTGAGGTGTCACTCGTCTTCCCGGCGAGTTGTTTTGCCATAGCATTTGATAAAGAGCAGAGTCACTGCTCGGTTTTCTGGGTTGAGGGAAGAAGTTCTGTATGTTACAGCTGGCAGAGAGTGTTTTCCAGTGTGGTCTACTTCTGGACAGCTGCAGGGACTTAATAAGCCACAAAGAGAGGTGGTTGTCATTCCTGGGGGGAGGAAACTTGCACTCCAGTTTTCTTAGGGCATCAGGGAACCTGGGCCAAAGTGCAGTTTGGATAGCATGTGACTGTTGCCCATGCTATGGGCAAATTCACTGCAGACTAGGTCAGTGGGATGCTTTTTGTTTGTTTTTAATTTAGTTTTGTTTTTTGGTGGTACTGGGGTTTGAACTCAGGATTTCGTGCTTGCTAGACAGGTGCTCTACCTCTTGAGCTGCACCTCTATCCCTGGGATATGTTTTTATAAGCACGGCACAGAATTTGATTTTGTCAGAAGCCATATAACCTTACTGGCTCTGAGTATTAGTATCTATAAAGAGTGAGAGCTGGGTGCTGGTGGCTCCTGCCTATAATCCTAGCTACTCAGGAGGCAGAGATCAGAAGGACCGAGGTTCAAAGCCAGCCTGGGCAAATGGTTTGCAAGATCCTATTTCGAAAAAAACCATCACAAAAAAAGGGCTGATGGAGTGGCTTAAGGTGCAGGCCCTGAGTTCAAACCCCAGTACCACCAAAAAAAAAAAAAAAAAAAAAAGTGAGAATAATATTGCCCAGTAAAATGAGGTCTAAATGTGGAGTGCTAGCTAGGACAGTGACTACCTAGGACTAGTAGGCACTAGGTAAATTGTTGTAAAACAGAACTTTTTAATTTTTTGACTTTTAGTCAGTCTATATGGGGCAAAATTGAGCGTGGTTTGACATGGAAGTGTGGCCTAAAGATAGGAGGAGGGAGAAAATACACACATGCACACACAATTTAGTTTCTCTCACCTGTTCTGAATGTTTTCACAAACATGACAGCAGAACCTTGCACTTGCTGCTTAAGAGCCTCCTGATTCTCAGGAATACAAACTGCTAAGGTTTACTGACCTTCCGCCCAGGGCAAGCCCTGTTCAGTTTTGTCTCTTCCTAACTGATCATAGCTTTGTTGAATAAGATGAACTGCTTTGATTCCTTGTGATTTGTTAATGGTCTTATACTTGTGCTTGAAGGCATTTGAGTCACTTAAAAACTACAAACAAATAATTTGCTTCCCTTTAGCCCTCTTGCCCAAACAGTCAACAGTAATAGGTATCCTGAGTTGTTTTTTTTTTTTTAAGGGAGCACAAAGTTTGCAAATTGGTTTTGTTTGAAGGCTTTATGATGCCTGGGGGAATAGAAATATCTTGAATATTATAATAAAAAATCAAGGCAGTGTTTCATATAGCAGTCTTGTTTTTCCCTAAAGAGTTGGGGGAAAAAACTAACCTAGTTCAGTGTACAGTAACCAAACAGTCGAATTCAGTTTTGTCAGTGTATGATGCAGGCTGGACGTTAGAAGTAGGCAGTATGAAGGGAAGAACAGAGGTACTCATATGAAAATTAACAAGAGAAAAGAAAGGAAAGAAAAAACCATATCCGGGCCCAAACATATTGTGCCCAAAATATCTTTGCCTACAGGGGTGTGGCTCAAGTGGTAGAGCCCTTCCTAGCAAGCAAGAGGCCCTGAGTTCAATCCCAGTGCAAAAAAATTGCAAAAATACCTTTGCCATTTCTATGTTAAAGAAAGCTTATTTGATCCTTTTTCTCCCTATTTAAGTGCTACATATTTCAAACAGGAATTTTATTTTAAATATCCTGAGAGTAGTACCTGGGTGCTTTTGCATTTGCTTGTAGTAGATTTGCCTGGGATTAAC